GTGATCATCAAAGATATATCTGTCTAGTGTACACATGATCATCAAAGATATATCTGTCTAGTGTACACGGTGATCATCAAAGATATATCTGTCTAGTGTACACATGATCATCAAAGATATATCTGTTTAGTGTACACAGTGATCATCAAAGATATATCTGTCTAGTGTACACAGTGATCATCAAAGATATATCTGTCTAGTGTACACATGTTGATCTTAGAGTCTGAAGTCTGTACACAGTGACAGTGACACATGTGTCCACTATCTGTCAAGATGTGCTGTCAGCACATTGTGACATTTGTGCCTTTCGTTGACTTCAGTTAGGAGAAGTCACAGATGCAGCAGTAAGTCTGGAGACATAGCTGTACAAGTCCCAGCTGTAGCAGTGTGTCTGTCAAGGTTGACTGTCTTCAGAGGCTAGATAAGAGCAGTGCCTTGTTACAGCAATAAAACACTTGGTCTGAACAGATCGTTTGTCATTCAAATGTCAATGTTCAGATCTGCAAATAGTAGGAAGAGTCATTGGGGCGGGAAGGGGAAGAGGGTTTTGGACAGGTAGAATTTGCAGCAAGGCTGAAAGGTGCCACCTCTTTACCTGATGCACACAGAAAAGAGTGTCTTTGAAAGGAGAATATTCCAGATATCTAAAATACAGGGAAGTCTCTGACAGTTGAGGGAATTTGTTTATTGTAGGCAGTTCAGTGACCCAGAAAATGTTCAACAGATGTCTAGTAGACAACCACCCTAGACGTCATTCTAGAGAGGACAACATAGCTAGGACACATTCTGTAGCCACTCTGGCTGCATGATTACATTGGTGCTGACATTTTAACTTAAGTGCTGACATTATGACATCAGTGCTGACATTGTGACATCAGTGATGACATTGTGACATCAGTGCTGACATTGGGACATCGCTGCTGACATTGTGACATCAGTGATGACATTGTGACATCAGTGCTGACATTGTGACATCAGTGCTGACATTGTGACATCAGTGCTGACATTGTGACATCAGTGCTGACATTGTGACATCAGTGCTGACATTGTGACACCAGTGCTGACATTGTGACATCACTGCTGACATTGTGACATCAGTGCTGACATTGTGACACCAGTGCTGACATTGTGACACCAGTGCTGACACTGTGACATCATTGCTGACATTGTGACATGGGTGTTGACATTTGTGACATCAGTTCTGACATCCTTAGTTTCCTTGACTAATGTCCCTGTGAGATGATAGGGTCAGAGGCAAATCGATATGTCAGCCCTATCACAGTGTGGGTTGGGTGTGGGGGTAACTGTGGGCTGCCAGACAGGACTGGCAGTGCTGCCTAAGCACTTAACCACCCCCCCCCCCCTTTTCTTTTCTCCAAACCATCTTAACAGCATTGTTCCCATGTTTTAAGATGTCACTGATGATCCCCATAGGCCTATAGATGTATTTCAAAATATTAGCAATAATAAACAATAAAATACACTTTTGTTTATCAGAACTAAACAAAACTTACCGTAGGATTGAAAAAAAAAAAAAGTCTATTTTTTTATCCTCCAATTTATTTTTATCCGAAATGTTTTTTCCTGATTTTTTTTTTTTTTTTTTTTAAAGTTAATTGCAAAGTCTTTGATCCGATCCGCAAACCAATCTTATGAAACACACTTCGTGGCTCGAAACACAAAACTACAAACGCGCATGCGTGTTCAGTGATTCAGTGAGTATGATCCGAGTTCAGACAGGTTCGGTGCGAATGCAGTGGCTTGAGTCATTACAGAAGTCTACAGTGCGTATAATCACCTTTATTTTTGTTCGGGGGCACGTGGCATCAAGGAAATAAACGAGCTGATAGGTTGGCTGGATCTGCTATCACTACCAACGGTCAACGTGTGGATCATGCTGACATCAATAATGCCCTCCGAGAACAGGGAGAAAGGGTGGAGGACTTTGAGGTCTCCGAATGCACACAGCTCGCAAAAGTGATACACTTGGAAGTTAAGATCGGCAACAACAACAACAACAAAAACGAGACGCACACCAGGCACATTAGAGGACATGATAATCAAAACAGAACTGATACTATTAGCCACCGGACGCTGGGGTTCACACAGAGCGAAGGATCTGAGCACCTGTAGACATGTCCGGAGTGCAATGATGATAACCCAACTAAATAACTAGCCAACTAACACGTGCTTGTATACTTACTAGAGATAAGACATCCAACCTGCCTTGAATGTTTGTTTTGGTGTGATTCCTTTAGATACTTCAGCTAAGAAAAAAAAAACCCACCCAGCTCCAAGGCTGTGATCATTTATGTGGTGCCTGTCCATTTGTGATGCTCTGCGTTTGTGCTTATTGTGCTTTATAGTTATTCCGACCCTGCTGCCAGGTACTGCTTCACAAGTAGGTGTGGACGTATAGGGCGGTCAGCTCGGTAGAGTTGTCTAGCCCCTAACGTGTCCCTCGACCAAGGCCTTGTCCCATGCAAGACTAGTTTTATTGTTTTGTCAACACCCCGGATGCTTTCTTGCAACAAGGCTGGGCATCCTGGGGGGGGGGGGTGTGGTGTCTAAAACAAAACTGATGGCTAGTCTGTGAAAGTTGCTAGGAACTACAACGACAGTAAGTGTACACGTCACAAACGTTTCAATCAATGAGGTGCCGTCTGTACAATGAAGGTTGGCTGCAATGGATCTCCAACAAGCCCTGTCTCTTGCCCTTGATGTACACTCACTCATACTGCTGTTCGTCTATCTCTTGATGTTATCCTCCCACTTGTAACGCTGTCTGCCTCTTGCTCGCCTACCTCGAACCTTTCCCTCTAGGATGATCTTTACAATACTGTTATGTCTTTTAATGTGACCAAAATATTTCACTTGTCTCTTTTTTATTTCACCTAGCAACTCTCTTTTCTTTCCCAATTTCCTCAGTACCTCTGTATTTGATAGCCTTTGTTTCCATGAAATACGACCTAATCTTCTGTATATCCACATATCAAAAGAATTGATACGATTTTCCAGATGTTTGTTCATTGTCCATGTCTCTGTGCCATACAGTAAGGTTGAGAATACATAATATTTGACAATTCTCATTTTTAATGTATTGCTTATTTCTCTTGATGTCAGTAACTTTTGCATGTTGTTGAAAATGTTTTTGGCAATCCCTATTCTTTTCTTGACTTCTGTTTCACTAATGCCGTCACATGTTATTACTTGTCCAAGATATATAAATTTTTAACTTGTTCCAATTTCACCCCGTTCACTGTGATATTCATTGTTAGCTGATTATTTTCTTTGCTAAATATCATGGTTTTTGTCTTTTTCAAATTAATATCTAATCCAAATTATGCACTCCTTCTGTTTACTTGCTCCACTAGGTCTTGCAACTCCTGCTCACTCTCTGCTAGCAACACTGTGTCGTCAGCATATCTCAGATTGTTTATTATTTTACCATTGATGTACAGTCCTGGTAATTCTACAATTTCTTTAAAAATGGTTTCTGTTCATAAGTTGAAAAGGCTAGGCGACAGCACACATCCCTGTTTTACTCCTCTCTTGATCTCTATTTGGGGTGAGCAGATGTTGTCATATCTCACTGTTGCTTCTTGCTCCCAGTATAAGTTTCTAATAAATCTGATATCCTTTCCATCTAGTCCTATGTTTTGAAGAGCTGCAATTAGTTGTTCATGTTGCACTCTGTCGAAAGCTTTTTTTTTTTTTTTTTTGTAATCTATTAAACACGCATAAATATTTTTCTGAACTTCTATATATTTTTCAGTCAGCATCTTTATACAAATTATGGCCTCTCGAGTACCACTGTTTTTACGGAATCTAAATTGCTTTTCAGAAACTTCTTTCTCTATTTTATTTTGAATTCTTGCTTGTATTATCTTCAAGAGTAACTTAGTTACGCGACTCATTAGGCTAATAGTTCTGTAATCTTCGCAATCAACAGCTTTTGATTTCTTGGGTAGTGTGATAAAAACAGATGTTTTCATGTCCCTGGGAATGTACCCATAGTTATAAATATCATTGCATATTTATGTGATAGTACCAATTCCAAAAGTAGATAATGATTTTAACATTTCTGCAGTTATGTTGTCTAGACCTGCAGCTTTTCCCTGCTTCATCTGTTTAATGGCTTTTTCTACTTCAGACTTTAATATGTTTTGCCTCCTCTTGAATATTATGAATTGGCGGATTGTCACTTCTGTTGTCCCAAAACAAGTCTTCTGTGTATTCAGTCCATCTTTTTATTATATCTTTCTTATCAACAATAATTTTTCCATCCTTCCCCCTAATACAACCATTTCCTGTTAATTGTTTTTCCTTGTTTGTAAGTTTTCTTATATTTGCATGTATTTCCTTGGTTTTGTGTTTTATTTCAAGATCCTCTATTTCTTTGCATTTTAATTAACTGAATCCATGTTTCTTTAGCAGTTCTACACATATTTCGTATTTCTTTGTCTATTAATGAACATTCTTGAGTGTTTTTTAGCTTTCTTCCTTTGTATCATTTTGTTAATAATTTCCTCTGTCATCCATACTTGATTTTTCTTGTTTTCTTTTACTGGTAAGATGGCATTAGCTGTTTCTATAATAGTTTTGAAACATTCCCATTTTGTATTAATTTTGTCTGCTGGATTCTCCTGTCTATACTGTTCCATGCTTTCAACTATTAATCTGTTGTCTCCACATAAAGGGGAAGGTTACAGCAATGTTCGCCTGTCGATGTCGCTTACGACCATCATAAAAATTATACATTCACTCAGAGAAAACAAGGTGGGGGGGGGGGGGGGTCTGGTGGAGGGAGAAAAAAAGGGGAGAAGATAGTGAGAAAGAGAGAGAGAGAGAGAAGAGAGAGAGAGAATCAACGAGGGGAACAGTGTTTGTCAATGAATTGTTTAAAACTATAATGTTTTTTTAACGTGACAACAAATTAATTAAACGATCCCTTGAGTAAATATCATGTAGCTGCACGAAAAGTGGCTGGAACAGGGAGACTACATTTCTGCCTCACAGATGAAGTAGGCATTTTCGCCGCAGTACTGGTCGTTGATGTAAAAGAAATCTTGGAAACTGCCCATCTCTACACAGTCCTCCCTGTTGGCGGCGTTGTCCGGATTACCTGGTCAAGGAAACAGTGTCTTCATAAAAAAAATCGAACAGGACTATGTTGTTGTTATGACTACACTTATCCCGTCAAAATGGACACTAGTCACGGTCACTGTTTTGAGCCCTAGCATTTTTTTTTTCTTTTCTGCCAGATGGTGGCCTTTGCATTTTTGCTCCATTTGTAGACTGAAGGATATAGAATCGTTGCTCAGCTTCTCAGTTGAGTGCATGGCATGACACTGTGAGCTGTGGATTTCATTTGATATGTTTTTCGACTGTGACCAACGTGGTGGTGTGAATTGTAGATTTAGAAAATGACGCAGCGCCTGTTGTCGCAATATTGGTGGTGCCATTATGTGATTAAAATTGATCGCGTGAGCAACTAATAATCTGTTGGTGACTTCTGCTTCCATCCATGATGAACTCCATTTCTAATGTCGGACTGTTTGTGATGGCACTTCGGATGGCCACCGTTTGCTTTTAATGCGTGTGTATGCTAATGCATATGCTGAAACAGCAGTCTGTCGATCTTTTCACAAGTGACTGTGATAAACATTCTATGTGTTTTTTTCGTTGGCACAGGAACGCTGCAACTATGGGGTGACCCATTTGCTATAAAGATGAAACTAAAATTACCAGATTACCATGACAACACCTGGACATAGAAACAGTGTCCCCATTAAACAATCGTACAGGACTGTGTCCTTGCTGTCCTGACTACAGTGATGGGGTCACGTTTCCACATGGGCCAGGTACGTGAGGAGTTTTACAAGTCACTGAAGGGTTACAGCACATGGTGTTATAACATTTAAAAAAATATATACATTTTAAAAGAGGGGACAAATCAAAATCGATGGCAAAGGTGACGGTGGCGAATACGGTCACAGCTATCGAAAGTGACTTTCAAACCAAATCAAATCGACTTTCCGCTGTTTTCCAACCCACCATACTGTATCCGAATTTTCCATTTTGTATTTAAGACCAGAAGACCATTTTGCCAACATGTCTGTCACTAACCAGCAACCAGTTCGACTGTTTCCTGTGCTCGAATTTTACAGTTCTTTTAACCACATCATAACTTACCAACTATTTCTTACAAACTGGCAATATTTTCTCTTTTAAATTCCCATCTTAATCATTTGTTCTCGTCAAAACAGGCACTGTTGCTATCATATCTTTAAATGACTCGAGGCCATCTTGATAACTTTCTGTTAACCTAGCAGCCGTTTTCGTAACTGTTTGTTTCGCCGTCTAGGGTAATCTTACCCACTGAACCATCTTGTGCTACCCATACCATCCCACAACATCCACACAACCCCACATCACTCACACAACACCACATCACCCACACAACTCTACAGCACCTACACAACCTCACATTACCTACATAACCTCACAGCACCCACACAACCCTACAGCACCTACACAACCCCACAGCACCTACACATAATATCATTAAAGATACACAAACTATCAGCAGACACCTACGACATTCATGACCATCCATATATGAGACCACAGCTGATCCTCTCTTAGCGTATTCTATGTATCTGAATGACGCTTGATTTTTGCTTTAGGGAGTGGGTGAACGGATTGTGTTACACTTGTTTTTGTTGATGCTGACACACCATTGATCAGTCCCTGCAGTCATTGCATCTATGAATCTTTGTAGTAGTCTAGTGGCCACTGCTGCACATTTATTTGCGCACCATAGTACCAAGTCATCAGCATACATTGCAGCATTAATACCATGGGGTAGTTTAGCAATTAGGTCGTTGATATAGACCAGAACTAGTGATGTGGACAGGACACCACCTTTCGAGAATACCATGGCGCAGCAAGACTTTCTTGCTCTTGAGTCTATCCGTACTCGTGCTATTCTGTTATACAAGCACGCTTTCACCCATCTGTACATATTCACTTTGTAGTATCGCAGTTGCTTCAGGAGACCCCCTTTCCAGACCTTGCTTACAGTTTTCTTAAAATCTGTCCATGCCACAAGCACTAGCTTATTTTCTTGAAAGCCATTTCAATTTCTTGAGAGAGGTCGTTGTTTGGTCTTCTGTGGAGTAGCATTGTCTAAAGCCTGCCTGCTGCGGCATGATGATGTTTTCACTTTCCAAATACCATTGGAGTCTGAGGTTGACAATGCGTTCCACTGTTTACAAAGACAACTGGTAGGTTAATTGGTCTGTACTAGAAGCAAAGCGAAAGGGGAAAATGTTGACATTAAAGGAAAGAGAGAAGACAATTATAAAAGATAATATAGAAATCCACTCCTTGAACCTACGCGAGCTCTTAAAAATAATGTCACTTGGCGAGTGGGAGCTAAAAACCCAACCTTAGCTGCCTGAGTAACAAGGGAGGGAAAAAAAGAGAAAACGTTCGTTTAGGCGGAGGTAAGATCATAGTCTCTTACCCAGACAGGAAATCTTTTGTATACAGTCTAGCTAGCAGTAACAGTAAACTAGATACACTAACTACAAGTCCTAATCCAAATCAAATAATTGGAACTATAATTACCACATTCAACATCTATTTATTTCACTGAACATAAGACTAAGTTCTCCACAAATAATAATGCATTGAACATCCACAACGAGTTTGAACATAACATAACAACAGATAGAAACTTATCTCTGCCTACAGAGAACTTGTTTCACTTTCTGACCTCAAGTTGCCAGGTTTTTAGGTCGCTATAAGCCTAATCAAAATTTATATACGGCTGCCCCGGGCCTGTCACGGGTCTATAACTGGAAGCATTGACACTGTCCTTTCCTCGTTTCAGAAGAGGAATCATAGCTGCTTCTCTCCATATCTGAAGAACTTTGCCACTAACCAAACATTTATGAAAAATCTGCAGCAGTTTTATTTTGGCTGTTGTCCCCAGGTTCTTGATCATTTCGTTAGTTATGCCATAGATTCCAGGCGACTTTCCTATTTTTTTTTTTTTTTTCATGGAGACTGCGGCTTGCTATTGACCACAAACAAAGAGAACATGGAAAGGGGGAGGTGGCTTTCCTGAAGAGGTTTATTTCACAGACAGACCACAATGATGGAGACAACAGAGATGCATTTAGAGAAGATCTGTCAGCAACCCATAAAGGAAAAAAAAATGTAAAGACTCCATACAGGTGGAAGTTGTGGAACATATTCTGAAAAGGGTAAAAGCCGCTGCAGCCGGCCCTGACGGAGTCAGGGACACGGGTGATGCAGACCTGGTGGAGATGGCTGCTTGTTTCAACCAGAGCATTAGGACAGCTGCAGTTCCACAAGCGGGATGCACGGTTACCTGATTACACTTCCTAAGCCTGGCAAAGGATCATTCTACTCTCAGCGGCTTCAGGATCATAACCTTGCAAAACACTTTTGGCAAAGTGCTGGAGACGATAGTAACAGGTAAGCTGCAAGAATTTTGGAACATAGAAATCTCCTCCCAGGAGGTTTGGGAAGTTACTGGCCAGGGAAAGACACATGGTCAAATGCAGCCCCGAAGGTTTCCGGAACAGGCAGGAAACGGTGTTAGCGGCACTTGATTTAGAAGATGCTTACAACAGAGTCAGATATAGTATCTTGATGTAAGTGCTTATGGAGAAGGGACTCAGTCCTTGGTTGGCAAACTGGATAGCAGCTGCTTTGTATTTTCGTGGGCAGCTCTCTGTCTGGGTTCATTAACCTCCGAACCACGTATTATAGACCCGGGACTACCACAGAAATCTGCAATTTCACCTGTACTGTTCAGTGTGTTTACAAGCAAGAATATGGAACTGGAAACATCTGGAGTTGGTAGAATACTGACATTCGCAGATGATAATCTCGCATATAGGCAAGGGAGAGAACGGAATCAAATTGCTAATGAGTTACAGGCGACAGAAGATCGAGATGAGAGCTGTAATCAACCCAGAGAAGGCAACCGTCCATTGGTATTCTTTGGACAACAGGATTGTTAGAGCTGATGTTCCAAGCCTCAAAATAAATTGCAGGGACATAAAAAGAGACAGCAGACTGCGGTACCTTAAATCATCTTTAATAGAAGTTTGTCTTTCTAGGGTCACGTAGAGGTGGTTGTGTCAAAAGCGCAAAAAGGTCTTAATGCACTAAAGATTATAGCAGCGATGGACATGGAAAAGAGAATGCTGTTCACACTTTACCAGCACTTAATCATCTCAGTGATTGATTATGGATTGGGTTTGCTCACTGTCTCGAAGAGTCAGCTGGTGAAACTGGAGCGCAGACAGAATGAAGCCATGCGAGTGATCCTGGGATTTACGAGAGACACCCCGGTTGTGTGCATGCGATACATCCTTGCATTGCCAACTATTGCAGATAGGCTAAAGGTGCCGAAGGCTGAGTCATTCCACAGAGTTGCTGCAGATAAAGAACACCCTCTGTATGAAGCTCTGGGTGCAGGCAAGCGTCAGAGGTTGAAAATAGGAACATCATGGATGGTTGAAGCAGAAGACACAATAAGGCAAGTATGCATGCTGAAGAACATTTGGCGAGGAGAGGAGTGAGTCAGAGTACCAGAGGAAAAGTTTAACCCATGTAAGGTCATGATCACATTAGGCCGGGAGTGCAGAGATAGGCCAGCAGAGGGCTAATGAAGTGGAAATCCAACAGTTGATTCACGACAATTCTCGTCCTGATGATCTGATTATCTACACAGATGGTTCGACACTCTTTGACTGAACCCGTAATGTACCATCGACACTCTTTGACTGTACCCGTCATGAACCATCAGCACTCTCTGACTTTAACCCGTCATATACCATTAACACTCTCTGACTGAACTTAGCATGTACCATCAACACTCTCTGGCTGAACCCATCATGTACCATCAACACTCTGTGACTGAATCCATCATGTACCATCAACACTCTCTGACTGAACTTAGCATGTACCATCAACACTCTCTGGCTGAACCCATTATGTACCATCAACACTCTCTGGCTGAACCCATCACGTACCATCAACACTCTGTGACTGAACCCATCATGTACCATCAACACTCTCTAAATGAACCCGTCATGTACCATTAACACTCTCTGACTGAACTAAGCATGTACCATCAACAATCTCTGACTGAACTTAGCATGCACCATCAACACTCTCTGACTTTAACCCGTCATATACCATCAACACTCTCTGACTGAACTTAGCATGTACCATCAACACTCTCTGGCTGAACCCATCATGTACCATTAGCCATCCCATTAACCCTAACCCTAACCCTAACCCTAACCCATCATGTACCATCAACACTCTCTGACTGAACCCGTCCTGTACTATCAACACTCTCTGACTGAATTTAGCATGTACCATCAACAATCTCTGACTGAACTTAGCATGCACCATCAACACTATCTGACTTTAACCCATCATATACCATCAACACTCTCTGACTGAACTTAGCATGTACCATCAACACTCTCTGACTGAACTTAGCATGTACCATCAACACTCTCTGACTGAACTTAGCATGTACCATCCCATTAACCCTAACCCTAACCCTAACCCATCATGTACCGTCAACACTCTCTGACTGAACCCGTCCTGTACTATCAACACTCTCTGACTGAACTTAGCATGTACCATCAACAATCTCTGACTGAACTTAGCATGCACCATCAACACTATCTGACTTTAACCCATCATATACCATCAACACTCTCTGACTGAACTTAGCATGTACCATCAACACTCTCTGACTGAACTTATCATGTACCATCAACACTCTCTGACTGAACTTAGCATGTACCATCAACAATCTCTGACTGAACTTAGCATGCACCATCAACACTCTCTGACTTTACCCCATCATATACCATCAACACTCTCTGACTGAACTTAGCATGTACCATCAACACTCTCTGACTGAACTTAACATGTACCATTAACACTCTCTGACTGAACTTAGCATGTACAATCAATACTCTCCGACTGAACCCATCATGTACCACCAACACTCTCTGACTGAACCCATCATGTGCCATCAACACTCTCTGACTGAACCCGTCATGTACCATCAACACTCTCTGACTGAAGCCGTCATACACCATCAACACTCTCTGAGTGAACCCGTCATACACCATCAAAACTCTTTCTGACTGAACCCGTCATTTACCATCAACATTCTCAGACTTAACCTGTCATATACCATCAACACTCTGACTGAACCAGTCATTTACCATCAACACTCTCTGACTTAACCCGTCATACACCATCAACACTCTCTGACTGAACCCGTTCTGCACCATCAACACTCTCTGACTTAACCTGTCGTGTACCATCAACACTCTCTGACTGAACCAGTCATACACCATCAACACTCTCTGAGTTAACCCGTCATACACCATCAACACTCTCTGACTGAACTTAGCATGTACCATCCATCAACACTCTCTGACTGAACCCGTCCTGCACCATAAACACTCTCTGACTTAACCTCACTTTCTGACTGAACCCGTCATACACCATCAACACTCTCTGACTGAACCCGTCATACACCATCAACACTCTCTGAGTGAACCCGTCATACACCATCAACACTCTCTGACTGAACCCGTCATATACCATCAACACTCTCTGAATGAACTTATCATGTATCATCAACACTCTCTGAATGAAACCGCCATGTACCATCAACACTCTCTGACTGAACCCGCCATGTACCATCAACACTCTCTGATTGAACCCGCTATGTACCATCAACACTCTCTGACTGAACCCGCCATATACCATCAACACTCTCTGACTGAACCCGCCAAGTGCCATCAAAACTCGCTGACTGAACTTAGCATGTATCATCAACACTGTCATTAACACTTGCTCTCAGGCTACGTTAGATGGTTTACCTGCTCTCCAGGGCAGGTCAGAAAGACTGTCATTGACACCTTTTCCGTCCTCCCAGACAAAGACACCCTCGATGTCCATGTCAGTCAGGCCGATCCAGGTGCTGCCTCTGGTGATGCTGCTGACGATGTGTCTCAGGAGGGCCAGCTGCTGCTGCAACTTGGGCATGTACAGTCTGGCGCCTTTATCTGTAGATCATTCCATATTCACTTACGTCAATATGTCGGTCGTTCGTACATTCATATCTGAACAGCCCACACACACACAGGTGTGTGTCACTGACACCAATGTCTGATGTGTTGTCTGTTAATCAGTCAGTACACAGTTAACGTGTTATTGACACATCCATATAAGGTATTGTCTGTTAATCAGTCAGTACACAGTTAACATGTCATTGACACATCCATATAAGGTATTGTCTGTTAATCAGTCAGTACACAGTTATGTTAACATGTAATTGACGTATGATACATACAAAGTATTATCTGTTCATCAACTAAACACTGGTCGCTGAAAATGTCACGTTACAAACAATGAAGTACCACACAGACGCAAACACAGACACAGTCTCTCTACGATTTATTCATTCTAATATCATTATACAAATAATCACAGAGGTCCACACGTATAGATGTAAGAGTGTGTAATCCATAATGGAGCGAAGCAAGGCTGTCTACTCTTCTCTACCCACTTGGTTTGAAGATCAGGTGCCTGGTATTTACTTCTGCTTGCCGAGACAACAGCCTTTACCGTTGTGAATGTTAACTAGCCATTAGCAACAAGAAGACACAGGATGCAATGCTGGATGCGAATGCAATCTTCCTTGAGGGCCAAGAGCCAGTGGCAGGTGCCAACTACACACGTTTGAGATTTCTAAATAATAACAAACCAAGAAATCTTTATCAAGATAGGTAAAGCAGTAAAACCATGCGAAGATAAACAGAAAAAAAAAATGGTTTCAAGACTCATTGTGAACAAAACAATCTTGATAGGTTAATCTTTGGCATCTTGATAGGTTCATCGTTGGAAAGATCTCACATGTACATGGGGTGACGTATGTGACAGACCTCACACATACAGGGTGTGATGTACGTGACAGACCTCACACATACATAGGGTGACGTATGTGACAGATCTCACATGTACATGGATGACGTATGTGACAGATCTCACACGTACATAGGGTGACGTATATGACAGATCTCACATGTACATGGGCTGACTTGTGTGACAGATCTCACATGTACATGGGATGGCTAATGTGACAGATATCGCATGTACATAAGATGGATATGTGACAGATCTCACTTGTACATGGGGTGATCAATGTGACAGATCTCACATGTACATGGGATGGCTAATGTGACAGATCTCGCATGTACATAAGATGGCTAATGTGACATATCTCACTTGTACATGGGGTGGTTAATGTGACAGATCTCACATGTATATGGGGTGGCTAATTTGACAGATCTCACATGTACATGGGGTGATGTATATGACAGATCTCACATATACGTGGGGTGAAGTATATGACAGATCTCACATGTACACGGGATAGCTAATGAGACAGATCTCACATATACGTGGGGTGAAGTACGTGACAGATCTCACATGTACTTGGGTTGGCTAATGTGACAGATCTCACATGCACTTGGGTTGGCTAATGTGACAGATCTCACATGTACATGGGGTGGCTAATGTGACAGATCTCACATGCACATGGGGTGGCTAATGTGACAGATCTCACATGTACATGGGGTGGCTAATGTGACAGATCTCACATGTACATGGGGTTGCTAGTGTGACAGATCTCGCATGTAAACGGGGTGGCTAATATAACAGATCTCGCATGTACATGGGGTGGCTAATATAACAGATCTCGCATACCCAATGGGATGGCTAATGTGACAGATCTCACATGTACATGGGGTGGCTAATGTGACAAATCTCATACGTACATGGGATGGCGTAAGTGACAGATCTCGACAGTCCTTAACCCAAGTATTTCAGAGTGTTTCTTTGTGCCGAAGAACTACATGGCCATAAGGTGCGCCGTCGTTAACAAAGGCAGTCAGGTCGTTGTAGTGGTGACGCTTGGCTCATAGAAGCAATGTCCCTGGCCCAGTCCCCAGCATGAAGCAATACTGGGGCAACCGTGTATTAATCACATAAACTACATGCAACCGTGAAATCGATTTTTTGTTGGTCTGAATCTTCTCAGGACCTCAGGCAATCTGTTGTGCCGTCGACATTCGCAACATATGTTGATAGATGTCACAGAAAGAGAGGGGGAGGAGGGATAAGGAAGGAGAAAAAGAAAAGAGCTGGTAAGAGAAGCACTAGACGAAAAAACTGACAGATTATCTCTTCTCTTGATTCGCGTTGGATATTGGAACTGTCGAGACACAAAGCAACAAACGCCACAATGCAGAAAATAGTGCATGACTTTGTTATCCTCTTGATCCAGGAGATCAGAATAAAAGATCGATCGATTTATAAAAATCCAGGATATCACTGCTACAGTTATCCGTGTGAAACACAAAACCGAGGTCTAGAAATGTATAGCAGGCATGAAATCTGACATCGAGGGCTAATTACAAACGTTGAAAACAGTTAAGGGCTTGAAATTTAAGGATTAGTTGTTCCCAGAGACCACTACAACTGCTACATCGTCAAAGTATACGCGCATATCCACAACTTCCGGATGAATGTGCACGGGAATTCCATTCAAATCGAGATAATCTCTAAATGCTGGAAATGTAGATGCTTGGTCTAAAAAGTGGCAAAATCAGACAAGGGGTTTCACTGTCAGGCTGACTATGCACACGCATCACCGAATCAAAAGATGTTCGTGCAACAAGATTAGCAACGAGAGCCAGAGACTCGGCTGGAGTGATCGATCTGGCGTTAGCGTCCAGTACTGATGCACCAGAGGTTAGCCACGAATATATTGAATAAGTGTCCGTGGACCAAAACAGGTAATGGCCATTGAGAGAAGTGAGTTTGAATAATGGGAAGACAGAAGTAATAGTGGTATCAAAGAAACGAATTATTCCTAAATGTGTAATAAAAGTCGATGGTGTTATTTTAGGACAAGTACAGAAATTTAAGTATCTGGGCACATGGATAATATCAGATGGAAAATGCATTACTGAGATAGGAAACAGAATAGGACAGGCAAAAACTGCATTTTATAAAAAGAAGAACATCTTATGCAATATATCTTTGTCACTGAGAGTTTGAAAAATAATTCTTGCTTGAAAGATACATCCAGTTTTAACATACGACTGAGAATCCTGGACAATCGGTAAGCAGGCTAAACAATTTCTTGAGGCCTCAGAAATGTGGTTTTACAGAAGAATGCTTAGAATACCTTGGACAGCCAAAAAGAGCAACCAAGAGGTTTTAAAAGAGGCGGGAGCCCGAAGACAACTTATCACAGACATCAGAAGGAGACAGTCGTCTTTTTTTCGCCATGTTATGAGAAGAACGAAAATAGAACATGTTGTGACCACTGGAAAGATCTTTGGAAGGAGGGATAGAGGAAGACAACGAGAGAAGATGCTTGACAGTCTTGTTGCATGGCATGGAGGTGTGTCGGCACACGAACTGATGCATGCTGCAGGAGATCGTGGATTATGGAGAGGCAAGATCGCCCACGCCAGTCGGCAAGGCACCTGATTATGATGATGAAGATGACATGCACCACAGTGCGCTGGGATGTTCTTGAGGCGCAAGAACGTGATCATCTTCCATGTGTTTTTCTCATCACAAAGGGACAGACTGTCATTAAAACCACGATACACGTTCAAATGTACGGCCAATAAAGATCAATGCATTCGTTGCGCCATACGGCTAGGCAAAAGATACGAACAAAAACGACAATTTTTTTCAACCTCCGTGGTAAAAAATTTAGTTGTTAAGGCTTGAGAAGCAAAATTATTGGCTAAGAATGAATGGTAGATCTCACCTGTACATGCGACCACTAATGTATCAGATCTACTTGTACATGTGACCACAAATTTATCAGATCTACTTGTACATGTGACCACTAATGTATCAGATCTACTTGTTCATGTGACCACTAATGGATCAGATCGCACCTGTACATGTGACCACTAATGAATCAGATCTACTTGTTCATGTGACCACTAATGTATCAGATCTCACTTGTTCATGTGACCACTAATGTATCAGATCTCACTTGTTCATGTGACCACTAATGTATCAGATCTCACTTGTTCATGTGACCACTAATGTATCAGATCTGACTTGTTCATGTGACCACTAATGTATCAGATCTCACTTGTTCATGTGACCACTAAAGTATCAGATCTCACTTGTTTATGTGACCACTAATGTAACATATCTACTTGTACATGTGACCACTAATGTATCAGATCTACTTGTACATGGGACCACTAATGTATCAGATCTACTTGTACATGTGACCACTAATGTATCAGATCTCACTTGTTCATGTGACCACTAATGTATCAGATCTACTTGTACATGGGACCACTAATGTATCAGATCTACTTGTACATGGGACCACTAATGTATCAGATCTACTTGTACATGTGACCACTAATGTATCAGATCTTCTTGTACATGTGACCACTAATGTATCAGATCTACTTGTACATGTGACCACTAATGTATCAGATCTCACTTGTACATGTGACCACTAATGTATCAGATCTACTTGTACATGGGACCACTAATGTATCAGATCTACTTGTACATGGGACCACTAATGTATCAGATCTACTTGTACATGTGACCACTAATGTATCAGATCTACTTGTACATGTGACCAATAATGTATCAGATCTCACTTGTTCATGTGACCACTAATGTATCAGATCTACTTGTACATGGGACCACTAATGTATCAGATCTACTTGTACATGTAGCCACTAATGTATCAGATCTACTTGTACATGGGACCACTAATGTATCAGATCTACATGTACATGTGACAACTAATGTATCAAATCTACTTGTACATGGGACCCCAAATGTATCAGATCTACTTGTACATGTGACCACTAATGTATCATATATACTTGTACATGGGACCACTAATGTATCAGATCTACTTGTACATGTGACCACTAATGTATCAGATCTACTTGTACATGTGACCACTAATGTATCAGATCTCACTTGTACATGTGACCACTAATGTATCAGATCTACTTGTACATGTGACCACTAATGTATCAGATCTGCTTGTACATGTGACCACTAATGTATCAGATCTACTTATACATGTGACCACTAATGTATCAGATCTACTTGTACATGGGACCACTAATGTATCAGATCTACTTGTACATGTAGCTACTAATGTATCAGATCTACTTGTACATGGGACCACTAATGTATCAGATCTACATGTACATGTGACCACAAATTTATCAGATCTACTTGTACATGGGACCCCAAATGTATCAGATCTACTTGTTCATGTGACCACTAATGGATCAGATCGCACCTGTACATGTGACCACTAATGAATCAGATCTACTTGTTCATGTGACCACTAATGTATCAGATCTCACTTGTTCATGTGACCACTAATGTATCAGATCTCACTTGTTCATGTGACCACTAATGTATCAGATCTCACTTGTTCATGTGACCACTAATGTATCAGATCTGACTTGTTCATGTGACCACTAATGTATCAGATCTACTTGTACATGTGACCACTAATGTATCAGATCTCACTTGTACATGTGACCACTAATGTATCAGATCTACTTGTACATGTGACCACTAATGTATCAGATCTGCTTGTACATGTGACCACTAATGTATCAGATCTACTTATACATGTGACCACTAATGTATCAGATCTACTTGTACATGTGACCACTAATGTATCAGATCTACTTGTACATGTGACCACTAATGTATCAGATATACTTGTACATGTGACCACTAATGTATCAGATCTACTTGTACATGTGACCACTAATGTATCAGATCTCACTTGTACATGTGACCACTAATGTATCAGATCTACTTGTACATGTGACCACTCATGTATCAGATCTACTTGTTCATGTGACAACTAATGTATCAGATCTACTTGTACATGTGACCACTAATGTATCAGATCTCACTTGTACATGTGACCACTAATGTATCAGATCTACTTGTACATGTGACCACTAATGTATCAGATCTACTTGTACATGTGACAACTAATGTATCAAATCTCACTTGTACATGGGACCCCAAATGTATCAGATCTACTTGTACATGTGACCACTAATGTATCAGATCTACTTGTACATGTAGCCACTAATGTATCAGATCTACTTGTACATGGGACCACTAATGTATCAGATCTACATGTACATGTGACAACTAATGTATCAAATCTACTTGTACATGGGACCCCAAATGTATCAGATCTACTTGTACATGTGACCACTAATGTATCATATATACTTGTACATGGGACCACTAATGTATCAGATCTACTTGTACATGTGACCACTAATGTATCAGATCTACTTGTACATGTGACCACTAATGTATCAGATCTCACTTGTACATGTGACCACTAATGTATCAGATCTACTTGTACATGTGACCACTAATGTATCAGATCTGCTTGTACATGTGACCACTAATGTATCAGATCTACTTATACATGTGACCACTAATGTATCAGATCTACTTGTACATGGGACCACTAATGTATCAGATCTACTTGTTCATGTGACAACTAATGTATCAGATCTACTTGTACATGTGACCACTAATGTATCAGATCTCACTTGTACATGTGACCACTAATGTATCAGATCTACTTGTACATGTGACCACTAATGTATCAGATCTCACTTGTTCATGTGACCACTAATGTATCAGATCTCACTTGTACATGTGACCACTAATGTATCAGATCTACTTGTACATGTGACCACTAAAGTATCAGATCAACTTGTACATGTGACTACTAATGTATCAGATCTAGTTGTACATGTAGCCACTAATGTATCAGATCTACTTGTACATGTAGGCACTAATGTATCAGATCTACTTGTACATGTGACCACTAATGTATCAGATCTCACCTGTGCATGTGACCACTGATCGCACCTGTACACGTGACCACTAATGTATCAGATCTCACTTGTACATGAGACCACTAATGTATCAGATCTCACTTGTACATGGGACCACTAATGTATCAGATCTCACCTGGACATGGGACCACAAATGTATCAGATTGCACCTGTACATGGGACCACTATTGTATCAGATCTACTTGTACATGGGACCACTAATGTATCAGACCTGACCTATACACATGATCACTAAAGTGACAGACTCACCTGTACATGTTTGTCTGGAAGAGTTGAAGCTCATGCGAGTGGACGAGATAAACAGACACTGGACGAAACCGTTGAACAGGTAAACTTGGAATCCCCTGTCTCTGTCGCAGAAGTTGGTGAAGTATAACACTTCGTCGGGTGTTCGGTTGTTGTCCGGACTGTACGTGATTCTGGACCCTGTTGGACGGTGAGGTGCTAGATGTATGGATGTGTTGGTAGATGTGCAGTTGTGTGGTTAGATATGTGGACATGTAGGTAGATTGTGGACGTGTGGGTAGATGTGCGGACGTTGGAGTAGATGTGTTGATAAATGTGTGGACAAGTGGGCAGACGTGTGAGCAGATGTGTAGATGTGTTGATAAATGTGTGGACATGTGGGTAGACGTGAACATGTGTGGTGGTGTGGGTATACGTGAATATGTGTGGTGGTGTGGGTAGACGTGAACTTATGCGGTGGTGTGGGTAGACGTGAACATGTGCGGTGGTGTGGGTAGACGTGAACATGTGCGGTGGTGTGGGTAGACGTGAACATGTGTGGTGGTGTGGGTAGACGTGCGGTGGTGTGGGAAGACATGAACATGTGCGGTTGTGTGGGTAGACGTGAACATGTGCGGTGGTGTGGGTTGACGTGAACATGTGCGGTGGTGTGGGTTGACGTGAACATATGCGGTGGTGTGGGTTGACGTGAACATGTGCGGTGGTGTGGGTAGACATGAACATGTGCGGTGGTGTGTGTTGACGTGAACATGTGCGGTGGTGTGGGTTGACGTGAACATATGTGTGAATCACATGGGCAAAGATGTGCTGATGTGTTAGTATCACACGAAACAGAAATATGAGCAAACTTTCTCATAGACCAGGAGATCAATACTAGTGGATGTATGCGAACATAGACGTGTACCAGGAGTTTTATACTAGCGGATGTATTCAAATACATATACGTAAGTGGATGCACGCGAGTATTTATGTCATCAGTCTCTCTCTTTCATTGGTCTCTCTCTCTGTCATTGGTGTTTCTGTCATTGGTGTCTCTGTCATTGGGATCTCTGTCATTGGTGTCTCTGTCTTTGGTGTCTCTGTCATTGGTCTCTCTCTGTCATTGGTGTCTCTGTCATTGGTCTCTCTGTCATTGGTGTTTCTGTCATTGGTGTCTCTCTGTCATTGGTCTCTCTGTCATTGGTGTCTCTGTCATCGGCGTCTCTCTGTCATTGGTCTCTCTCTGTCATTGGTGTCTCTGTCATTGGTCTCTCTCTGTCATTGGTGTCTCTGTCATTGGTCTCTCTGTCATTGGTATCTCTGTCATTGGTGTCTCTGTCATTGGTGTCTCTGTCATAGGTGTTTCTGTCATTGGTGTCTCTGTCATTTGTGTCTCTGTCATCGGTCTCTCTGTCATTGGTGTCTCTGTCATTGGTGTCTTTGTCATTGGTGTCTCTGTCATTGGTGTCTCTGTCATTGGTGTCTCTGTCATTGGTGTCTCTGTCATTGGTCTCTCTCTGTCATTGGTGTCTCTGTCATTGGTGTCTCTCTGTCATTTATGTCTCTGTCATTGTTGTCTCTGTCATTGGTGTCTCTGTCATTGGTGTCTCTGTCATTGGTGTCTCTGTCATTGGTGTCTCTGTCATAGGTTTGTCTGTCATCAGTCTCTCTCTGTCATCAGTCTCTCTCTGTCATCAGTCTCTCTCTGTCATCAGTCTCTCTCTGTCATCGGTCCCTCTCTGTCATCGGTCTCTCTTTGTTTTCAGTCTCTCCTTGTCATCAGTCTTTCCCTGTCATCGGTCTCTTTCTGTCATCGGTCTCTGTCTCATCGGTCTTTTTCTGTCATCAGTTTCTTTCTGTTATCGGTTTGTCTGTCATCGGTCTCTGTCTCTCATCAGTCTCTCTTTGTCATCAGTCTCTCTCTGTCATCAGTTTTTCTGTCGATTGTCTCTCTCTGTCACTGGTATCTCTGTCATTGATCTCTCTGTTATCGGTCTCTCTGTCAACGGTCTCTCTCTCTCTCTCTCTCATCAGTCTCTCCCTCTCATCGGTCCCTCTCATCGGTTTCTCTCTCTCTCTCATCAGTCTCTCCCTGTCATCGGTTTCTCTCCTTCTCACATCGGTCTCTATTTCTCATCGGTCTCCATCTCTCTTCGGTCTCTCTCTCTCTCTCTCATTGGTCTCTCTCTGTCATCACTTTCTCTCACTGGTTTCTGTCTCATCGGTCTCTCTCTGTCATCTGTCTCTCTCTCTCTCTCATCGGTCTCTCTCTGTCATCAGTCTCACTCTCATCGGTCTCTCTCTCTCTGTCATCGCTTTTTCTCATTGGTCTCTGTCTCATCAGTCTCTTTATGTCTTCGGTCTCTCTCTGTCTTTGGTCCCTCTCTGTCATCGGTTTCTCTCTGCATTTCTTTCTCTCTGTCATGGGTCACATCTATCTCTCTGTCATCAGTCTCTCTCTGTCATTGGTCTCTCTCATCAGTCTTTCTCTGTCATCAGTCTCTCTCTGTCATTGGTCTCTCTCATCAGTCTCTCTCTAACATCGGTCTCTCTCATCGGTCTTTCTCTGTCATCGGTCTCTATCATCGGTCTCTCTTTCATCGGTCTTTCTCTCTGTTATCGGTCTCTATTGTCGGTCTCTCTGTCATTGGGCTCTTCTCTTGATCTCTCTCTGCCATCGGTCTCTCTCTTTTCTGTCATCGATTTCTCTCTGCCATCGACTTCTCTCTGCCATCAGTCTCTCTCTGTCGTCGGTCTCTCTCTCTCTGCCATCGGTCTCTCTCTGTGTCATCAATCTCTGTCATCGGTTTGATTTATTAGTCTCTTTATCTCTGTCATTGGTCTCTCTCAATCATCAGTCTCTCTCTGTCAATGGTCTCTCTATCTCTGTTATCAGTCTCTCTCAATCATCGGTTTCTCTGTCCTCGTTCTCTCTCATCGATATCTCTGTCTTCAGTTTCTCTCATTGGTCTCTCTCTCTCTCTCTCTCTCTCTCTCTCTCTCTCTCTCTCTCTCTCTCTCTCTTTCTCTCTCTGTCAGTCATTGTCCCCTTTGTGTTCTAGGTCCTTCTCTCTGTCACTGGTCTCTATCTCTCTGTCTTGCTTGACTCATTTTCTGGCTCCATTTACTGCAACATTTCTTTCTTTTCCTGGTATCTTTGGTAATGTTGTCACCTATTTGCCTATCTCCTAGCAGCACAGGAAGAATCAAGGTGATCATGATGGTAGTGGTAGAGATGGTGAAGAAGGTCCACAGTAAACTTACCTGGTGCACACAAGCCGTTGTTTGTGTTGTAGGTGACGGTGTAGCAAACCGTGAACGTGTCCAAGCAGGCGTGAACACAGGTCAACAAGCTGGGCGACAGCCAGGCTTCCCCTAGACTTGTGGCTCTGTAGTCGGGCAGGGTCAGTCGCTGGAATCTGGTCAGTTCTGTGTCTGTGGTCAAGAGGCCAGCTGAGGAGGCGGCAGTACCGGTGTTTTAATGAGATGAGTCACTGAGGTGATTTATTGAGGTCATTCACTGAGATGATTTATTGAGGTGAGTTACTGAGGTGATTTATTAAGGTGAGTCACTGAGGTGAATAAATAGGGTGATGTAATAGGGTGATTTGTTTGTGAAGTGATTTGTTTGTGAAGTGATTTGTTTGTGAAGTGAGTTGTTTATGAGGTGATTTGTTTGTGAGGTGATTTGTTTGTGAGGTGATTTGTTTGTGAGGTGGGTTTTTTTGTGAGGTAGTTTGTTTGTGTGATGATTTGTTTGTGAGGTGGATTGTTTGTAAGGTGTTTCGTTTATGAGATGATTTGTTTGTGAGGTGGTTTGTTTGTAAGTTGATTTGTTTGTAAGGTGTTTAATGAGGTGGTTTAATTTGGTGGTTTAATGAGGGTTTATTGAGGTGGTTTAATGTAGTGGTTTAAAAAGGTGGTTTAATAAGGTGGTTTAATGAGGTGGTTTAATTAGGTGGTTTCGTGCGGTGGTTTAATAAGGTGGTTTAATGAGGCCGTTTAATGTGGTGGTTTATGAAGTGGTTTAATGTGGTGGTTTAATGAGGTGGTTTAATGAGGTGGTTTACTGTGGTGCTTTAATGAGGTAGTTTATTGAGGTGGTTTATTGAGGTGGTTTAAGAAGGTGGTTTAATGAGGTGGTTTAATTACGTGGTTTCATGTAGTGGTTTAATGAGGTGGTTTAATGAGGTGGTTTAATTACGTGGTTTCATGTAGTGGTTTAATGAGGTGGTTTAATCATGTGGTTTAATGAGGAGGTTTAATAAAGTGGTTTAATGTAGTGGTTTAATGAGGCGGTTTAATGAGATGGTTTAATGTCGTGGTTTAATGAGGTGGTTAAATGAGATTGGTTTAATGAGGTGGTTTAATGAGATGGTTTTATGTAGGGATTTAATGAGGTGGTTAAATGAGATTGGTTTAATGAGGCGGTTTCATGAGATGGTTTAATGTCGTGGTTTTATGAGGTGGTTTAATGAGGTGATTTAAGGAGGTGGTTTAATGTGGTAATTTAATGAGATGGTTTACTATGATAGTTGAATGAGGTTTTTTACTGCAGTAGTTTAATAAGGTTTTTTACTAAAGTATTTTAAATGATGTATTTTACTGCTTTAGTGCGGTAGTTTAATTAAGGTAGTTTAAGGTTTTTGAAGTACTGCGGTGGTTTAATGAGGTGGTAGAGGTGGTTTACTGTGGTTTAATGAGTGCGTGGTTAATGAGGTAGTTTACTGTTGTTTTAATGATGGTTTTTTACTGCGATGGTTTAATGTGATAGCTTAATGAGGTTTTTTACTGCGGTAGTTTAATGAGGTTTTTTTACTGTGGTAGTTTAATGGGGTTTTTTACTGCTGTAATTTAATGAGGTGGTTTACTGAGGTATTTTAATGGGGATTTTTACTGCTGTATTTTAATGAGGTGGTTTACTGCGGTAGTTTACAGGAGTAAGACAGTGCTTTAATAATGTTTTTAATCTGGTTTTTTTTTTTTTTAATTGAGGTGGTTTATTAAAGCCGTTTTTTAGGGTGTTTTATTGAGATCGTTTCAGGGTAATTTACTGAGGTAATTAAATGAGGCCGTTTTATGGTGATTTATTGAAGTTGTTTAATGAAGTCGTTTTGGAATAATTTATTAAGGTGGCTTAATGAAGTCGTTCTAGGGCAACTTATTGAGATCGTTTTGAAGTGATTTCTTGAGGTGGTTTAATGAGGTCTTAGGGTAATTTATTGAAGTGGTTTAATAAAGTCATTCTAGGGTAATTTATTGAGATAGTTTTGGCGTGATTTATTGAGGTGGTTTAATGAAGTCGTCTTAAGGCAATTTATTGAGAGCGTTTTGATGTGATTTATTAAGATGGTTTAATGAGGACGTTTTGGGGTGATTTATTGAGATAGTTTAATGAGACCGTTTTGGGGTGATTTATTGAGATAGTTTAATGAGACCGTTTTGGGGTGATTTATTGAGATAGTTTAATGAGGCCGTTTTGGGGTGATTTATTAAGGTGGTTCAGTAAGGTCGTTTTAGGGTAATTTGTTGACATCTTTTCAGAGTAATTTATTGAGGTGCTTTAATGAAAGTGGTTTTATAGTTATTTATTGAGGTGGTTTAATGAAGCCGTTTTGGGGTGATTTATTGAGGAGATTTAATTAAGCCGTTTTGGGGTAATTTATTGAGATCGTTTTTGTGTGATTTACTGAGATCGTTTTGGGGTGATTTATTGAGATTGTTTTGGGGTGATTTATTGAGGTGGTTTAATGAAGCTGTTTTGGGGTCATTTAGTAAGATGGTTTTGGAGTGATTTATTAGGGTGTTTTAATGATGTGTTCTGGGGTAATTTGTTGAGATTGTTTTGGAAATATCTATTAAGGTTGTTTAATGAAGTCGTTTTAGGGTAGTTTTTTTTTTAGATAGTTTTAAAGTGATTGTTTGATGAGGTTTAATGAAGTCGTTTTAGGGTAGTTTTTTTAGATAGTTTTAAAGTGATTGTTTGATGAGGTTTAATGAAGTCGTTTTAGAAAATTTACTGAGATCGTTTTGGGGTGATCTATTAAGGTGGTTTCATCAGGCCGTTTTGGGGTGATTTATTGAGATCGCTTTGTTATGAAATATAGTTAGGAATTGGTTAAATGAATGAAGCATACATTTCAGACCAGTATCAAGGCACGCCAATTCATCACTGGGTGGCATGACGGAAAACGGTGATTAGAACGCTGGCCCGACAAAGCGAAACAGATAAACCAGGTACACTGTGACCAGTTGAGTAGAGTATGTTTATCCAAACGTGACCACCGGAGACGGGTGACAGGGGGTGATTGAGAACCCACGCTGGGAAGAGAGGGGAAGCAGGGGTGAAGAGGAGTGAAGCGAGGAGTAGATTGGACAGTTAGGGCCTGGCCGCTTAAGAGGGCAGTGGAGAAAACTTCGTCAGAAGATATATGAAACTGTGGTTTAGCTTGGCTAGAGAGATTAAAGAACCTATCGTGAGATATATGAACAGCCAACAATAAGATACTAGAATGTTATACTGTTGCATAAATGAAATATGTTAGTACCGCATGACTTGACAATATTGTTAATAAACAAACTCCTGTGTAATAGTTTGTTACATCACTGGCTTTGTTGTTGAGTACGATTCAAGAGAGCTACGAACTGTATCCATAACACACTGTGTCCGAATTAGGCACATCTATGAGGCGATGTGAAGATACAACTGGGTCACAACTTTGGGGTGATTTATTAAGATCGTTTTTGGTGATTTATTGAGATCGTTTTGGGGTGATTGTGATCGTTTAGGGGTGATTTATTGAGATCGTTTTGGGGTGCTTTATTTAGATCGGTTTTGAGTTATTTATTAAGGTGTTTTAATGAAGTCGTTTTGGTGTCATTTATTGAGGTGGTTTAATGATTTCGATTTAGGGTGATTTATTCAGATCGTTTAGGGGTGATTTACTGAGATCGTTTTCGATTGATCGAATAAGGTGGTTTAGAGAAGTCGTTTTGTTGTATTTTATTGAGGTGGTTTGATGAAGCCGTTCGGGGTTAATTTATTTAAATGGTTTAATGAAGTCGTTTCGTGGTGATTTATTGAGGTGTTTTAATTAAATCGTTTTGGTGTGATTTATATGGGTGGTTTAGTGAAGTTGTTTTGGGGTGATTTATTGAGGTCGTTTAATGAAGTCGTTCTAGGGTGATTTATTGAGATCGTTTTGGAGTGATTTATTGATGTGGTTTAATAAGACCGTTTTGGGGTAATTTATTGAGGTGGTTCAATGAAGTGATTTATTGATGTGGTTTAATAAGACCGTTTTGGGGTAATTTATTAAGGTGGTTCAATGAAGTCGTTCTGGAATATTTGGGTGAGATTGTTTTGGAGTGATTTTTTGAAATGGTTTAATTAAGTCGTTTTGGGGTAATTTATTGAGATAATTTTCAAGTTATTTATTGAGGTGGTTACAGGTTAAAGTGGCGCGATGATTTCTGTCACAGTCGTGAGGTAAAGTTAAGTACAACTTCTGCTGCACGTCCTCGTCGTGCGCCACGGATAATGTCTCAAATAAGCATTAACAGAGTTGTCAGGGAATCTCGGAGTTTGGCGGCTCCCAGAGGTGTAGTGTCCTTGTGGCTCTCATCAGCCCGCTCCCAAACGCTTGGATGAAAAATTTTATCACAACTCACTTGGAACATGAGTAAAGTCTGCTTGCCAAATGTACAACTAAAATGACAACCCTCGGTTAAAAGTTGGTGAAGTGAAGAGAACATTGTGCTGCTGAGACACAGCTCTTGACAAAACTTTTTAACCGCAGCTCAGACAAGTAAAATCTCCTGTGTATTTCCTCTCGCAGCAAGATCCTATCTATGTACATCTTCTGTCAACCCTCAGCGTCGTAGTCACCGCGCTGAGATACACCACAACAGCAACAGTCCATCGGCTGGCTAAGCCCAGATGTCAGACAAAAATTGATTCTACAGTAAAGAGCAAGCTCAAAATAAGACCAACATAAATCTTATTGATTGGGAAAAAGTCCAAATGTCCCCATCCAGAGACCCCACTCGCCCAAGTGTTGGGATCAAAAAGATAAAGAGATGCCTGACGCAGGATTCAACATTCTGTCGTGCTAACGGCTTGTTAAAGATGTCGAACGTGCGACGGAAAAGAAAGTACCTCTTCGTGTGGTCACAAAAGTCCAGAACCCGCGGACTGCTCCCCGCTGATCTCCGGAGGGCGCAGTCCGTGTCGAGAGGGAGGCCTAATACTGTTGTGAGGTTTAGCAGTCATGTGTAGGGAGTG